TGGAGAGAGATTTTTATTGCTAACCAAGGCTTTTATATCCTCTGGGGATGTGCAAGCCCCCTAATTAGAGGTGAAGACATACGTCACAGGAAAGGGCTGTGCCATAGATACTACAGTCATGGGAGGGGGGTGATCTAGAGGTAGCCACATAATAGGAAGAGGAGGTAATGGGGATACACATGTGACAAGATGGGCGGACCTTAGATTCATGATGGCGGCCTAACCTCAATTGCTTTAGAGCTACAGACTTGAGCCTAATCTGTCAGGGGAAGCAATCCACTGACCCAACAGCAGGGAGTGAGCCCTGCCGGTTGTGGGAGGGACAGTGGTGTATGCTTGCTCTGGATGGCTGGAGTCTTCAGGGAGATAACTTGACAATCATTTACCATTAGTTGCAATCAGTGTCCTAAATCCAACATATATTTGGGGAGACGACTTGGGAGAAATCTTTCTATTCCGCACACCCCCTCTCACTGAGGAAGAGCTTCCTTCCAGGGATCTTGATTGGTGGCCCCTGATATGTTCATTTCTTACTATGAAAACTTTTAGGGTCCTTTTTAACTCAGTTTACTGAACTGCAAAATGGGAGCGGGTAAACTAGAAGGTCTTTAGGCTTCCTTGAACCCTGCCTCCTCCATTCTCAGAATCCCCCAAGTCCTGACCAACCTCATCTTTGCGTGAGGAGCTGCCCTAGGTCAATACCTTCTGATGGGTCAGGCTGGTTGCAGGGTGTATGGGGCATCCAGCCCAGCAATCCATGGGGAGGTTTTGTGAGATTCCTTGGGTGTGGAAATACCTCGGTCCTTGGCTTCGATCGAGAAAGAAATTCACGCCAAAGCCTGGTTTGTGATCCAAGTGGGTTTTTATAAAGTATAGAAGAAGTCTCAGGTTTTATAGTCACAAACACGGGCACTGCACACCCACACGTGGCGCCCCTGAGGCCAGAGGAGGAAAAGAGGTCACAGCACCGCCGAGTGAAAAGTGGGGCGAGAGGGGTGTTGGGATGGGCAGTGGTCTCCAAGTTCCAGTTTGTAGGGCCTTCCGCTGGGAGGCATGGTTGATGGTACTGGTTGACCCCCATTGGCTTCATTAAGGCCACCTGACCTAGATTGGGCCAATCCAGATGTACCGCCCACCTAGGTGTACCGCCCCTTCCTGGCTCAGGGCGAGTTGGCGGCATGCCTGGTGGACACCCTAAGGCCTTGTTCTGCCCTTGAACAATGTGTGCAGACCCCTAGGATGCTCTCGGGTGGCAGGCTCGCCTTTCTACTCTTCCTTGTAGAGCGATAATTGTAGAGAATGGGCCCATGTCACATAACAACATGGACCCAGTAGCAGGGTGAAGAAGCGCCCCCTGCGATGTCTCTGGGGAGAGCCAGAGTCATGTCAACCTCTGTGGCGAAACAAAAGGAGCCCTGGTAGCAAAATGGGTTAAGCACTAGGTTGCTAACCAAAAGGCCAGCAAATTGAACCCATCAGACATTCTGCTGGGGGGGCGGGGGGCTGGAATGAGGCAGTCAGCTTCCAAAAGATGTGTAACTTTAGAAACCCTGTGGGATTGCTATGCGTTTGCATCGACTTGACAGCAGGGAGCTGCGGACGAGGCAACATAGAAGGTGGCCCGCTAGCCATCATGGTCGATGTGAGTTGAGAAACACAGCAAGAAAGAGAAGAGACTCTCCGTGCAGGATACAGCATGTGCAAAGGCCCTGAGGCTGGAACCTACAAGGGGACTTCAAAAAGTTTGTGGAAAAGTGGAATGGAAAGATCATGGACTTTTTCCAGGCACCATTTGAATCCCACTCATGTTTGGTTTGTGTGCAGAACACTAGAGCTAGAGCTCAGAGGTAGAGATTGACACCAGATGATGTCCGGGAAGCAGCCAGGGCCCAAATCCTTACGAGCATGATTGGGGCTTTGGGATGCATTCAAAATGTAATAGGAAGCCATTGGAAAGTTTTTGAGTATAAACATGTGATCAAATCTGTCTCCTAAAGGGAATATAGAGTAATAGAGGTAATCTGAAGTGATGAATACCCATGTATCTACCACCTCACCTTAAGTAACAAACCATGACAGACACTTCCAAAGCCCTTGGTGCCTCCCTCCCAGTACTGAGCACCTGTACTAACAGGAGTGTGACAAACACCCTCCCTCCCAGTACTGAGCAC